CTTCGCTGCTGACGGCAGCTTCGGCCGCACGAGCGCACGAGCACGGCCAGCCGAAGCCGAGCTGCAGCAGTCGAACTTCAAATCAAAAAGCGCAAGAAAAAATAATGATAAATAAATCCGAAACTAACAGAGTAACAAATTTCGAAATCGAAAATGAAAACCAAAATAAATATTAACTGCAGTTGTTGGAAATCTTCTTCAGATATAGACGAGCCTGGACGAAATGGGGGTCTGAATGGGGCTTACTGGTTGTCGTGGTGTTGCCGTTAGCTGATCTAATGTAAATGTGGCTCTGGCTCTGGCTGTTGCAGTTGCCGTTGCAGTTGCAATTGCAGCGAACGGACCAGGCCACTAACTGGAGCAAGCTCGAGTGCTTTTAGTTCGGCCATGCAACTCCGGTCAGTCTGTGGCAACTCCGGGTCGGCACTCCGGTCACACAAGCACGGACACACATATGTGTGTATATAAATATATATATGTATCAAATATATATTTATATATACATATATTTATGTTTATATATGTATATGTATATGTATTTACAAAAAAAACACTCACACACACACAGACAGACAGACAGACAGACAAAGCACGCTCGCTGAGTCGCAGACCGTGTCAGTCAACGTGTGCGAGCACGCGGAAAAACAAATGTAAACTGTTTTTGCTGCATGGCCTGCGAACGTTTGGAAGCAGCCGCAGCAGCAGCAGCAGCAGCAAGCATTAGCAGCCGCTACCGCAGCAGCAGCAGCAGCGACGACCCCAAACGAATCGTACGAAGCGAACGAACGAGCGAACGAACAAATTGCCGAACAGTAACGACGCGCACGAGCACGAACAAGCCGAAGGCAACCGAAACGATACTCAGACGTAGACACACACACGCATGCACACACACACATACAGAGTCAGTCAGTCTGGCACACATACATACGCTTTGTATAGACGTCGTGAAGCAGCAGCAGTGTAGGCAGCGAAATATATTTCAGACGTCGCTTAGCGGTGAAGCGCCGCACACGAATAAGACCGAGATGCGACTGCGACTGCGATGAGACCCAACTACACTTTTAGTCAAACAACAAGAACAAGAACAACAGTAACAGCAACATCAGCAGCGAGCTCTGCCAACGCTAACGCCGACGCCGGCTGTTGCGCTGCTCTTTGTCGTCGGTGTTTGTGCTTTTGTCTTTTGGCCATTGCCAATTTGGCAGGCCAAACAACATTTGCATTCGGCTGGCGTTGGCTCCTGCTCTCAGCCAACTGTTAACAGGGCCAGAGAACTAAGAGTCGAAAGCTTTTGTGCACTTCGTGCAACTTCCGGCAACTAACGGAAGCAGCAAGCACAAGCAACAACCACAACAACAACAACAACAATATTACTTTTTTTTAATTTTTTGTTTTTTTTTTATGTTGCAAGTGAGCTGAGAACAGAAGCACAGCCGGGAGCCGGAGCCGGCATTGCCGGCCAAAGAGAACAGAAACATTTTGCAGTTGCAGTTGCAATTGTTGGTACATGTTGTTGTTGTTGTTGTTGTTGTTGTTATTGTTATTGTTACTATTGTCTGTTTGTACTCATATTTTGTTTGTTTCCATGCAGTTGCTATGCATAAACTCAAGCAAAATATGGGAAATAAAGCAATGTAAAAGAACTACAAATAGTAATGCCTGGCGTATGCGTAATATTTACAAAAAATTTGTTGTGGTATTCCCTAAGTACATCTCATTACATCCCCTCTTAGAAAAATTTCTCTTTGAGATAATGTATAATTTAATATTTCCTTAATTAAAACTTCTATATATATCAAATATAGTTAAATCATTTTCACATCATTTCTCAGCGCTGCGCAGCGATCTCACATAACAGTTTTTCGATTGTGCCTCAGCGTATGCAACATAAACAAAAATGCGCTCACAGTGCGGCAGCTGTTAGCTAACAGCGTCGCGCCATTGAACTGTTAACGAGCGCCTGTGCAGCTGTTAGAGACTGCTTAACAGCTACGAGCGCGAATCAAAATTGCAACAATCAAAAGAGGAATAGCAAAAAGACAACACGAAAAAAAAATAGAAACGCAGCAGCGCTAGCGTTGACGCCGACTACGACTGCGGCGGCGACGTCAACTGCAACGCTGACAGCCGAAAAACCACGTTTTTGTGCAGAAGGCATTCACACCGAAAAAGTTCTTGTTGTCGCCTGCGCCCGTTCGTCTGCATACTGCACGTGTGCACGTTTTTCGAGTTCGGCATTTGTCGCTTCGGCAATCGGCGGGATTCGGCAGCGACTGCGTCAGCGGCATCCGCATCGCTCTCCCTATCCCACACACACACACACATACGCAGCGCAAGCTGACCTGCTCGCTCTCTTTAGTGTGTTTGTGTGTGTGTCTGTTTATGTGTGTGTAGCCGGTTTAGTCGGTTTTTAGGTTTTTCGGCTGTTTTTGCCGCAACCAAATGAGAAACGCGAATTGCGAAATGAAACGCAACGGAACATCAATGGGGATCTACTACGTCATTCGTTTGCTCATTTTAAGTCTGCAAAATGCAAAAAATTGATGACACACACACACATAGCAACACACGCACGCACACACACACAGTCGTCCACAAGCGACGTCATAGATGACGTCGAAGTCACGTCGCTGCCTGTGCCTAATCCGTTAGGTTAAAAGTTAAGACTGCAGCTGACTATTTTGGTGATGCAATCGGAGGGAGTTTCGCGAATTTAAAAGCTAAGCTCGCACCCACACACACATGTATATATCTATATATTTATATATAATAATAAAGCAATAAAAAAAACACACACACTTTGGACTCGCGCACTTTTCGTTAAACTTCTCCTGATTTGATTCGTTTTTGTTTTTATTTCTCTTGGTTTTCCTTTTTAATATTTATTGCCAATTTGTGTTGTTATTGTTATTATTATTATTATTATCAATTTGAATGACGCGCTCTTTTGGGGCCCGGGCCAGTTGAAGTTTTGGGCGACGTCGTCGTCATCAGCTGCGGTGCGTGTTAATGCACCACTTCCTGTTACGCTACTGTACCGGAGCGATATACCTTTGCCGTTATTAGTGCAACGCCAGCTTACGATGCCAGTTTATTTGGACGCTCTCGCACTCGCACTCTCTTTTGCTCTCTGTCTGTCTGTCTTTCTGTTTTGGGCTGTCTGTCCCTCTGCCATGCATCGCGCTCGCGCTCGCGTTCACACACACACACACACACACACACACACACACACACTCACTCACTCTCTCACTCTCTCTGGAGCTCTTGCTCTCTTCATACTCTTACTCTGTTTCTTCTTCTCGTTTTCTTCTTTTTTTGTTGTTATTGTTTTTGGGAAGCCAACTGCAACTCCGGGCATGCGATTTGAAAATTGTGTCGTCAGCTTGACACAATTTTCCAGAATGCGCCTGGAACGCACGAAGCTAGTTCTCTGGAACGGGAACGGGAACGGGAACGGGAACAGATTTTCGGGAACATTGCGTTGCTGGGCTTAAGGGGGCCGCTTTGCAGATGCGTTCAAACTGCCGCTGCCGCTGCCACTGCCGCTGCTGCTGTCTCTGCCTCTGCTACTGCCGCTGCCGCTTCATCGGATTGTTCATGTAGGTCTGGATTTTCGGAACACGTGTCTTACACTTTGCACTTTGAATGCATTTATTCAGGGTTTCGCAATTAAATAATCTGACAGTGTATCAATTAGCCACTCGCATTTGATTCATTTTCTGCATTCGATTTGCTTTCGCATTTTATGTTTTCCTAAGATGACAGCCAACTGAAGCTAATCAAATTAGCTGCCTCCTGAATGCCGGCAACAATTTCATGCATTATGCATTTTGCAGCAACAGCAGCAGTTGCCAAAATGCTAAACACTCGCCACTAACATATATACGTATCAGTGACGTGTGTGTGTGTGTTAGTGTGTGTGTGCGAGTTCAATAGCATTCTGCCCGGCATTAAAAAATAAATAAAGCCGCCGCTTGCTGCATTTCGCTATTGAGAGCGACAGCAGCGACGCTAACAGCGGCCACGGCAGAGAGCCAGCCAAAGAGAACACAAGCTTAACAGTCTCTTAACAGCAAGCGCTTAGCAGTAACCGAACGAAAGCTTTTGCGCTGTTAACGCGCAGCCCACAACAAAGGCCAGAGAGATAGCAGCCAAAGGTGTTTACAGCAAGATCACCTTTTAGGTGGGCAGTGCTTTATTTTTTTAAATAGTTTAACTATTTATATTAACTCTAACTATTTATTAATATTAACTCTATTTCTATTTATTTCTATTATTCTATTTATCTCTATTTATATTAACTCTATATTAATAAATAAACTTGCTGGAAATTTAAATGAAACTTGACTTTCATAAGTTTGGTGAAGAGAAAATAATATATAGATTCAAATAAATAAATAAATTTATATAAAATCTGAGAAGATAATAATATATAATATATAAAGCAAAGTCAAAGGAATAGTGGATAGTTTCATATAGATGACGATTGAAATATAAGTTTTAGATGAATTCAGTTTTACATATCTTAAAGGTTTCTTGCACTATATTTCAAATCTTAATATTTAAGAGGGGTGGGAGAAAACTACTGAAGAACGAGCGGGAAAAATTGAGGAGGAAAAAAAGAGAATGACGCGATAAAAGGCGGACGATTGGAGAAAGTCACAACTTCATGGTTGGAGAAAAGAATAGACGGAAGGACGAATGGATGTACATATAAGCAGACAATGGGAAGGACTAAGCGTGGTAGAGGCGCAAAAATGGACAGAAGGACGGATGAATCAATAGGAACTAATTACCGACTCCATCTTTAGCTGATTTCCTCTCCAAAGAATTAACAATCTTTTGAAATAAAATAATCAAACACTAAATAAAAGAAACAATCGATTACAAAAATAAACAGAAATTTATCGATCGTTTTATTCAAATTGAAACAGATTTGATTTGTTGTTTTTTTTTGTGGTTGGCCTTTGACCAAAAGATTTGGTGGTAAAAAATTTTGGTGTCTCGTCCCTTAAAAAAATGCACTTAATCGTAATTTTACGTTAGGTCGATCATGATATAAATAGACCCTCGGTGATTGCCAAACATGGGTAAAAGCACTGCAGTAGCTAAACATTCAAATAAAATTTGGTAAAAGAAAAGAAAAAGCTTCGGACATGGATCAGAAGGAAAGCATCAAGTCTCGGGCTATGGCACATAAGATTGGCGCAGTTTCATAAGTCTTTCGACAGCAGCGGGATGCGCATAGTCGTGCACGGATATCTCCATGTAGACGGGCTCCGTATAGTTGTTGGTCAGCACGCGCAGGTCCTGTGAGGTGAGGCGCAAATAGTTCTTGCTTCTGGACATGAACTTGGTGCAGTCGTGGCACTTGTTCAGGCCGCGCACCTGCATGATCGAGCTGCGGCTGATGTCGACGCGACGATTGAAGACGGTCATTTGCACATGGATGGGCCGCACCAGCTCGACGCTGACCAGCCAGATTGCCACCACGCTCTCGCCCAGTCTCTGCCGCTCCAGCGAGTGACTCGAGCTGGACGAGTCGCAGCCCATGAAGTCTTTGTCCACGCAGCGTCCCCTGAAGCGCCGGCGGGTGCGGCAGGCCATCACAAAGATGGGCATGTGGCCCGTGAACCGGCTGTATTTGCCGGGCAGGCCGACATTGTAGTCGGGCATGTAGTGCGAGATGGGCAGAGAGTCCGGCTTGTGCTTGTCGCCGGCATAGACGATCATCGAGAGGCAGACGTTGTGGGCGCGCTTGAAGGAGCGCGGCTTGAACATGATCAGCACCTGGTCGCGCTCGAACAGCTCGTTGAGGGCCAGGCCGGGCTCACTGAAGTGCACGTGCAGAAAGTGGGCCAGTATCGATTCGTTGATCACCCGCACACAGTTCGGCTCGTTCATGGGGCAGTCGAAGAGGCGTGGAATCGTTTGGTTATAGTTGTGCCGATGGCCATCTCGCAGTTCGTGCGCGTGAATGTAGCAGACGTAGTCCCAGCTGGACTTCTCCTGGATGCTGCGCAGCTGCTGCAGCCGCACCGCGATATCCTTGGTGCGCTGCTCACGGCTGAGGCTGTCGAACTCACGGGACAGATAGGCGCACCTCTCGATAGCCGCACGGGCCGCCGGCTCGCTGAGAACCGGGGCGCCCAGATAGCCAACGACGAGGGCATCGACGGTCAGCTGCCGCCTGCGCTCGCGGCCGCTCTGAGGCGGCGTACGCACGCCCATAAATATGGCCGGATCACACCACACATCGTTGAGGGTGTCCGTGGAGCCGTGCCGCGAGTCGCCCGCCCCATGGGCCTGTCGAGGTGACCTCGCAGTGCCCTGTATGGAGCCCACCAGAGACGAGCTCTCCGTGAACGTAAGGCTCTTCGACTGCATTATGCCGGACATCACCTTCTCGTTGAACAGCAGCCGGGGCGTGTCCGGTGCGAGCAGCACTTCCACCTTGCTCGACTCATTCGAGCTCATGAGATCATCGAAGGACTCGTCCCTGACGCTTTGCATCGATGACATCGTGGGCAAATGGATGTTCTTGGGCGAGCGACGCAGCAGATAGCTCAGCTCGGGCTTCTCCTTGAGCTCCACGCACTGTGGACGCTGCCTGACCTGCTCCTTGGGCTTGTTCTTGTACTGCACGGGAAACTGATAGGTGGCCCTTCGCGAGGACTGATGCTTGGCCTCCTCGTTTCGCATCTTGCGCCAGCGGCGCAGCTCCCGGCTCTTGCGGTGCTCCAAGTGCGTGGAGCGGAACGGCGGCACCGGCGATGGGGGCAGCAGTATTCGCACCGAGGTGGGTCGACCCGGTGTCCCCGCTCCGGCCGGCTGGGGCTTACGATGCTGCTTGTGCAGCCGCATCCCCTGACAGCCACAACAGACGTAGCCGGGCGGCTCCGCTCGCGTCAGATAGATATTTCGCATCCGCTCGTCCGGGCTAGTGGGCTGGCACGACACCGCCTCAAAGTACTGGCTCGACACCGTCAGCATATGCTCGTCCATGCTGCCAGCCATGGGCTGACAGGCCATCTTGGTGTCGCGCCGCTCGTACATCTCCGCGTTGAGCATGGATCTTCCGGGCTCGACGTCGATGTAGCCGCACATGCAGCCGTTGCCGCCATGCAAGCGTTGGCCCCGGCGGCGCAGCATCTTGCTCTCCGTTTGGGTGCCGCTGTCGCGGCAGCGGCGCTCGCGATAGCGATGCTGACCCTGCTCCTGGTCCTGGTCCTGCTCCTGCCGATGGTGCTGATGCTGATGCTGGTGCTGGTGGTGGTGCTCCCGCCTGCGGTGCTGCCGCAGCCACTCACGCTCGGCGTCTCCCATGTAGAGTAGCTCGAGTGATGTCAACGGAATGCCAAGTCGGTCGTAGTGCATGCGCTGACGAAACAGCTCCACAAACCCAATCCGGTAGTTTGTACGCTCCTCCTCCCAGTACTCCGGTACGTCGGACTGCGATGGACACTCACTATGCTCCGACAAATGCAACTGGATGTCTCGCACCAGTTCTTGATAGTCGCCGGGTAGGTCGTGGCCTTGGGGGATGCTGGGTCCTTCGGTGTCGGCTAGAAGGAGGGATCTATTGATGATTAAGCTGCTTCGCATCTACATCTACCGTCTCGACGCTGCTGAGCTACTCACTTGGAGAATTTTGCGATGAGCTATGGATTTTCAGATCGGACGCTCTGAGCTCAAATTCATCCGGCGTATAAAAGCGTTCCGAGTCGGTTTCTGTAGTGTCCTCTTGCTGTTTAATTGTGGTATCTGTATGCTCATGCCACACTGCCGATGCTTTTGTTGTTGCTGCCACGTGTATAAAATGTTTTTCTTCCGAGCTGTTGAACTTATTTTCCATATCTTACTGAACTATTTGATTTAGTATACTTCCGTCTCCGTAGATGAGGTGAGCTTTACTTGAGCTGTGACTCGAAATCCAGCGCTTGCTGCGACTATCGAAAATGTCAATAGAAAATAATAAATATCGATATCATAGTGTCTCCTAAATCGCTCGTTTTAATAAAAAAGGTTTATTTAATATCTGGTTAAGTGAAATTAATCATTTTATGGGATTTTAACTCAAGTATAGCAAGTTAAGGTGTAGATTAATCAAAAGTTTATATACACATTAGCTCGCTTTGTCCTCATCTAATTTTCTGTATAGAGCAATAGAGATAATAGAAGATAGAGTAATTTAAAATGATTGAGTCTTTTAAATGGTTCTCAAAGATGCCAAAGAAAATCAGCTGGAAATCAATTTTCCGCATAATATTTGCTGTAACTATTGAAACCCATTGCTCCCACACGCAGATGCAATTTATTTCCAATAAATCGATAACTATTGCCGACTTTGTGTTATCGATTAAATCATCTATAAAAAAAATGGCATCTCGTTCATCTCTAGGGCCAGAGCCTCACAGTTTTGCATTAGCTAAATCTATTTTAGATGCCAAACCCTTCCCAGCAATACATATATGGATGACATTATCGAATGCTGAAAGTCTGATACTGAAAGTCCATCCACAAGAGAATTTGCTCAAGCTCTCACAATGTAGCGCAGAACTATGGGACTATCAAAAGAAATTGAAAATGATATTTAATAAAAATTGAGCTATTTATTATGAAAGGCCGATAAGGTATGAAGGTAAGCCATAATGCGATCAACATCGACAATGTCAAGCACCCTGCAACAAAATTAGATAAGAATTTCCTTAGATATAATCAGTTTGCTCTTGAGCTGCAGCAGATAATGCTGATAAATGGGAAATTTTCGTGGAATATTTGGGATCGGGATATGGAGAGCTTATCGCCAAGCTTCGAGCACACACCTGGTGGGCGGTGTTGAGGTATGCAGCGGCAGCGATCTGTCGATGAGTGGGTTAGCAGCTGCTTGCGATAAGTGCAAATCGCTATAAAATGATTTGGCTTTCAGCTGAACCGTCGTTAGCTGTCGATTTCTCAAGTGAACACCTGTTCGACCCATTCCAGATAAGCCAGCGACAGTGGCCAGAGTCTTCAAGTTATTGAAACACTTGCCCACCATAAAAACTATAAAGCGCCCAGAGGCAGCTCGACAAGCCAACAAAAGGCCGTTTAAAACAAGAATGAAGAAGAAGAAGAAGAAAAATAACAGAACAGATAAAACCAACACCAAGTGACTCACACAACAAATAGCAAATGGAACCGTTTAATGCATGCGCCTCCTCTATTGATCTATTGCATAGCATATAGAAGTACTCAAGCTGTCTGAGTGCCTGACTGGGAGCTAAATACTCCATTGCGGCTGCCCATTGTAATTGCCAGTTGGGCAGAGACTTAATTACACGTTCGCTGAATGAATGGAAGTTCCCAGCCATGATTTATTTATTTGCAGCTACCTTGCCCACATCTACTAAATGTAGCATATATAAATAGCATAAATTACACTCGAATTGACACGAATCAAACAGGAATTGTGTTGGCTTGCCGTCTAATGAAAGCCTCTCCGAATGGGCGACTCTTATGATTCACGTATGTCAAATGATCCCCTTTCTATGCGATTCTCACGAGTTCAAGTGGCTGTTACATCTCGAATTTAGTTTAGTTTCAGTAATTCCTATTTTTTCTCCTTCCTTCACGTCGCATTTCCTTTGATCTCTCTCTTTCTCTCTCTCCGTCTTGTGAATGAAATATTTCTTTCTTTTTATCCAGCTTTCTTTCTCTCTATCTTCAACAATCAATGTCTATATACCTCTTACACTCTCGGTCTCTGTCTCTATCTACCCCTTTACATTCCTCTCCGCCTCAATATGCCTTCCTCGCTCCATCTCTCTCTCTCTCTCTCTCTCTCTTTCTCTCTCTCTCTTTGGCTTTCCCTTCTTCGTCGCTTACAATCTGTCATCTCAGAGAAAGAGGGAAAGAGAGGGGGAACTTTCCCACTCTCATTCGTTTCTCTTTGTTGCTCTCTCTGTCTCTCTCTCTCTCTCTCTGTCTGTTTCTCTCTCTCTCTCTCTCTCTCTCTCTCTCTGTCGCTCTTTTTCTTCCATTTGCTCTATATATACATCCATAAATCTCTCCTCTACTTATTTTTGTCTCTACCCTCTAACAAACTCATTCTTTTTTCTTCATCCCTTTCGCTTGTTCTACTTATTCATATCTCTTTCTTTCGATCTCATCTCATATTTTCGATCTCTTTTCTCTGTTTCCTTTTCTTTCTCTCTCTTCAATCTTCAATCTCATCTCACTCATGAACTTTCCCATTCTCTGCCCATTCTCGTCTCATTCATGTTCCCTTTGTCTCACTTAATCTGTGTCTCCATCTATATATATTTGATATATATATATAGCTCTTCTTCACTTCTCTTTCGTCCTCATTGTCTCTTCCCCCCCATAATTTTCTTCTTCTATATTTATTTCAAATCCATTTAAATGTTCGACAATACAATGAAATATTTATTCATGATTACTTTTAATCCCATCCAATTCTCGCAATTATCATAATTGGCATTGTTGCTAATCCAATAAAAATAGTGTATATATCTGTATACCCACAATGGCTATGGAGCTGTAATCGATTCGGCAACGGAATGGCTTATCTGCCGCGGCTAGTTGTTAATGGAGCTCAGTGCCCGGTGCTAATCGCCAAATCAGTCCCCAAAATCTTATCAACGGCACGCCGAGAGCACTTTAGTCTGATAATGGTAATGCCCACACATACGCTGGTTTCAATTTCAATTTCAATTTCAATTGATTAAACAGTTGTTAACGAGCTAACGAGCTGGTCGGCTGGAGCGCTTCAAGTGGCTCCTGGTCAACTGTGTGTGGCGAATCAAATTATTAAGCCTTTACGCTTTTCGCATTGTTTGGGCTCTCTTTCCCCTCAATTTTTTTTCCGGTGTTTATGTGTGTGTGTGTTGTGTTGTGTTGAGTGTTTGCTGAAATGGAAATGAAATTTCAGTTGGTTGCCCTGCTATTGTTGGGGGCCGTGCAGCCAATGGTGGCCGAGCCCCATTGCATTTGGTATGGCGAGAGCCATAAGCTGGGAGAGCACTGGCAGAACAAGGAGTACCACGGACCGGCACTACCGCTGAACAATCCAGAGGCGGAGGCCATCTTCGCCAGACGCTGCCCCATCCTCTATGCGGAGTACAAGGGGCCCAATGGCGATAACGAGCTGGAGCTCTGCTGCGACGGCAATCAAATTCTGAGCATGGACTCGGGCTTGAATCAGGCGGACGGTGTGTACAGCCGCTGTCCCACATGCACGCTGAACATGGCCCAAACCGTCTGCATGATGACCTGCGCCAAAAATCATTCGCTCTTCCTGACGCCCTACATCGCGAAGAGTCCCGATAATGTGGACTTTGTGGAGCACATCGACTATTACATCGACGACGAGACCGTACAGAAGGTCTACAACAGCTGCAGCGGCATACAGCATCCGCAGACGGGCCGGCCGGCCATGGATCTCGGCTGCGGTGCGTACAATGCCAAAACGTGCAACTATCGGCGCTGGTATCACTTCATGGGCGATGGCGATAACAACGACTATGTGCCGTTCGTCATCAACTATACGTGGAGTGCGGATGCAGCGCCGGGCTCCACGGATGAGTACCTGACCGTGTTTCCGCTGGACTGCGGCCAGAGCTATGAGGGCAACTATGCCTGCGCCTGCATCGATTGCGACGAGTCCTGTCCGATCACCGATCCGCCGACGGGCTACGAGGATCCCTGGCAGATAGCCGGACTGTACGGCATCACCTTCATAGTTGCCCTGGTGGTCGCCCTGCTGATCGCTTGCCTCATTTGCTATAGCGCCGTCAGCGATCGTCCCGGACCCAACATCTGCATGCCGACAGTGTACGGCGATTTTCTGTACCAGGGCTGCCGCATCTGGGGCACCTTCTGTGCCAAGCATCCGGTGCTCGTGCTGGCCATCTGCTCCTGGGTGATTGGGGGGCTGGCCTATGGCATACGCTACATGAACGTGACCACCGATCCCGTCGAGCTCTGGGCCAGCGAGGAGAGCAGCACGCGCATCGAGAAGAACTACTTCGATCAGCACTTCGGGCCCTTCTATCGCACCAATCAGCTGTTCGTGAAGCCCGTGAAGAAAGACACTGTAAGCATTTGCCGTTTGCCTGCACGGATAACCCTCTTCATTACTCAGCTCTCTCTCTCTCTCTCTCTCTCCCTCTCTCTCTGTTTCTGTTTCCCTGCATCTCCCTCAGTTTACTCACGAAGCCCCCAGCGGAACTCTCACCTTCGGTCCAGCCTATGAGCAAAAGTTCCTGCAGGAGGTCTTCGAGCTGCAGGAGCAAATCATGAAGCTGGGCGTGGCGGAGGGCACGAGCTTGGACAAAATTTGCTATGCGCCCATCCTGTATCCCGGCTTCACACCCACCGTGGACGACTGTCTCATTCAGTCCATCTATGGCTACTTCCAGAATGACATGGAGAAATTTCAGACCTCCTATGTGGACAGCAACAACTTTACCATCAACTATCTCAACCAGCTGGAGGATTGCTTGCGGTGAGTCGAAATAGGTGGAAATATGACAGTGAGTTAAGGAAAATGCACATGAGTCGTGAGGACTTGATCTCTATGATCTCTATATCATATAGGCGAG